AGAACAATGGCTGCTCTTGTAGAAGACTGGGGAACAAGTCCCAGCACCAACATAACCCCAGGTCCAGATTTGACGTCCTCTTCTGAACTCTGCAGGCAATGGACAACAAGGGTGCACTTACATACATATAGGTAGCGTACACCTTTAATCCCAGCATGCACTCAGGAGGCAGAGGCAGACGGATCTCTGTGAGTTCAAGGCCAGCCTGGTCTACATACTGAGTTCCAGGACAGCTGGGGCTACAGGGAGACCCTGTCTCAAAAAGACCGCCCCCCCCCCAAAAAAAAAGAAAGAAAGAAACAGGCTAACCTTCCTCTAATTCCCTGGGCCTGCACAACTGGCCAGCCTCTCTCCTGGGTAAGTCTATGGAGCCCTCTGCATTGTGACTCCCCCAACCTCATTCACCCTCTAATCTCACCCACCTGTCTCTCCTCCTAGCTTGGGTACTGTCCCATTCCTTGTCTTGGCACCCAGACACCGGGGGAACCACCACTACTTCCTGATCCTTTGCATCCACACGAATGCAATTCCTTCTCACTGTCCCCAGGAGCCCTCTGGGCCTGGTCCCGCCCTCACCTCCCTCTGCTTCCCTGGGCTGCACAACCCACCAGCCTCTTTCCTGGACACCAGGGCTGCCTCTCGGCTTCCTGATCCTTTCCATCCAGACCAACCCAGGTCCTCAGTGCAGTCCTCAGGAGCCCTTGGGGCCTCTTCCCGCCACCATCTCCCTTTGCATCTCTGGGTGACATGACCACCAGCTGCAGGAGACCAGCATCTTTCCTGGGCCCTCTTCCCAGGCCAGTCCAACCCCCATATTCCTGAGGCCAAAATCTATCCTGGAGGCATCCAGACCTTAGGAGAAAGACTGAGAGCATTTGATCCACCTCTGACTTGGGCCTCTGTGGGAACTCCTGAAGACAAAAGCAATCTGGACACTCCAATATAAAATCAAGAGAGAACCGGAATCTTAGATAAACCAGCTTCTCATGCCCAAAAAGTAAACCACAAAGGCACATAGAGTTTACAAAAAGAAGCATACCTCTCACACAAGAATCAGAAACTGCAAAAGAAATTCACATGTCAATATCACAGAGAAAAAATTATAACATGAAAAACCAAAATAACATATCCCCACCAAATACCAATAGTCCTCCAGAGGTGTATAATGAGAACCCCCTAGAGATAATGCAGGGCATGGAACTCAAAAGAACAATTATAAACATGATAAAAGAATTCAATGAATTTAAAGAACACAGAAAAAAAGAAATCAAAGAACTGAAGGAAGATAGGGATAAACTGAATGAATTCAGAAAAGAGTTAGAAATA